TCGGACAATAGACCCAGAACCACCTACGTTATACGCCTTTTCATGCCACAGTAATAGATGTCCACTGGAACCTTCTGATGGGTATTCAAAGCCTCGATATATATATTTCATTAAAATATCTATGTCATCGCGAGATAAGTTTCCAACAGCTTCCTCGATTTGTGCAGATTTTATTGCCAGTAGTACTTTTAAGGTAATAGCAAGGGCATTATCCTGAAATCACAAGGAGGCAATATGATTTTTTTTTCATCCCCTGTGTAATGGTTTCTTAAATTTACGCGAACACTACACATTGATTAAAACTACTTTTTCACATTAAATTAAACACGATAAAATCTTTAAACCTAAAATCGTGATTAGAATAACTGGCTGGTGCTGGTAGGTCATGCACCCTAGATTTGAATTTAATGTATATTGTGAATGTTCTGTGTTTCTAACAATGAACTTCATCTCTAGGGTATGTTCGTATTACAAAATATGTTTCGTATCGGTGATATTATATACAAAAAGATATCATGGTATCATATAAAATTATACCACATAGTGGCGGTTTGCAGTGTGAGAATATCCACTACCCCATATCGACCCCACCAGTCAGGCAGACAGTCAGGGTTTTTTTAGTTTTTAATGATAATTTACATGAGGTGTTACTTTGTGGAAATCCATTTTATTAAAGATGTTAAAATAGTTAAAAAAATACAATTGGTATAATTTATCTATAACCTATACGTTAATTAGAATTAATCACTTTTATTATAATCTATATTCAATAACTTTCTGATTATTATCAGCGATTTTAATCAGTTTAAATAAAAAAATGATCACTTATTGTGATTAATTTTCATTTACTAACAAGCATACAGCCTACCTAATGGATAGTGGTTGCAATGGCCCATAGACACCTACATTCATCCTCGATTAAGAATCAAAATGCAGATGAGTTGGCACTCCTAGGGACCAAATGGAATGCCTCGTTTCTAGTAAGGGTCTCCGCTTTTCTAAACTCACCATATGAAGTAAAGGAACATTGAGCTGCTATTTTATGCTGGTATTCTGTAGAATTGTTATCTTCCCCAGTCCAGTTGACTCATTTTGTGCTGTAACCATAATAAAGGTGCATGTGGCTATACCACATACAATATATATAATATTTTGTATAATATACAAAATATCTAAAATAATTCATTGTGTGTTCATATTTATTATCAGACAAAAATCAATTTTTTGTAAATGGGAATAAATAGGAAATAAATGCACACTTACTTTTACTTGCTGGTTTGTTGATCCAATTGGGGCATTGTTAAGTACCAATTTAAGGGCTTCTATGGATCGTCCTGTATTATACTGTTAAGAAAATAAATAGAAGGTAAAAGTGTATAAATTAATTTATTTAAAATATTTCGTCTTTGAAGCCATTTTTATTAAATCTATAATGTAATGTAAATTTATAAAAACATAATATTCCTATGAACTACAAACCTCATACTTAAGTCAATTTATTTATTTTAAAATATAAAAGATTTTTAATATTGATATGGTCACAACAAGATGTTGTTATATTAGCTAATTGCGTAATAACTTAAGACAGAAGGACCTTTAAGTAGGGACTGAATAAATTAACCGACTTGATATTACATAGATCTCACAAGTTTTTAAGATAGAAGAACTGAGTTGACATGGTTTTTTTACAAGTTATGTTTTTGATGGCATTAAGTTTAGCAATTAGATTATACTCACGTTCCCTGGTATGTACATATTAGAAATATATAAATTTGTCAGACGGAGTTATTTAAGTCAGCCTGTTATATACATATATTCACATCCTTGTGATTTGCATGCATTAATTATATTATAGCGTTTGCAATGCGTGCATTTAGCCTGTTATATTGTGGATGTGAATATATATAACAGGCCGAATGCCAACATTAGAAATAGTGATAAGCTTGTCTCAGACAATAAACCGAAAACTTCCATCTGTCGGAAAAGTTTCTGCATGTGTGCATAAGATTCACAACCAAAAAATTATCTGAATGGCTAATATAAAAAAAAATTATAGTGTTAAGGAATTTAAAAATGACTAACATGCGTGTTGACACATGATAGACATAAATGCTATGTGTGTCACTAACTTTATATCATTCTAATGATGTTATATTTTTAATTTAATGATTTTTATATTCTGACATTGACATTGTGAATTATACATGACATTATGAAATACATAAATAATGTTGATACATTTTAATCATCACCGATATTACATTGTGAAACACATAAATAATGTTGAATACATTTTAGAATCTCTTATCACCTATATTTGGTAATTTGGAAAAGTTTGCATGGTGTATTTCCCAACTAAAATAGCCCTTTAAGCAATTTATTTTTACTGTAACAACATAATAATTATCCCCTATATTACTTGAGATATTTGAATGATTAGATGAATTGATGATTGAAGAGATGATTGAGAACTAAATCTTCTCTTTTGGTATCGTTCGAAATTTTAACACAAGTCCAAAAATTTCACAAAAATATCTTTTCATTGTTTAAATATTCTATTTGGGTGTTCTTAGAAAGCTTTTTATATATTAAATTTAATCTACCTGTAACTATATTTTAATCTATTTATAATTAATGTAATATAATATACAAAATGCAACATACATTTTATAAACAAAAGCAGTAGTGGCGTACTGAATGTACACTGTAATGCCAATCTAATCAATAATGGTTAAGATAGTTCGGAGAACTATTAACATTTAAAAAGGATATTGGTTAAGTAACGCACAAATCTCGCCTTCATCAGGGCCAGTAGGGCCTGATGATTCAGCCTCATCTTCTTTAAAATTATCTTCATTGTACTGATCAATGTCTATTTTACGGAATGCCGAACTAGAAGTATTTTTAGCCATTTTAGTAATTTAAATATGTATTATTAAATGCCACAAACTAACTAGATACACGCGTTTAAATGCGGATTTGTTTAATTAATAATTTAATATGTATTGCTTGGGCATGCAACTTAGTACATTATTTCGAGAACAAATTGATATCTTTTTGTGCTGCCATCTTTAGTGAGGACACGTAAACTAGACTTACTTTTATTGAACTAGAGGGCACACTTATATATTAAGTCGGTCAATAATGGCGGTCGTTACTCACTAATAGTAGAAAGTATGAATGAGGAAAGAGTGACAAAGCAAATTTATATGGCAGATGTGAACGGCAGAGTCGGGAAGGGACGCCCTAGAAAAAAGTTTATCGACCAAATTGGCGATATTTTGAAAATGGGCCACGTTAAAAGTACCCTTAACCGACGAGCATGTATGCGTAGATATATGGATGTTAAGGAGGCGAAATAGGTATGTCAGGATCGTGTCAAATGTAAGTCGGTGGTCTCTGCCTATCCCTCTGGGTGACAAGCGTGAGTGTTTTATGTTTATGTTATGTTATGTTATAGTTATTACACACATATAAAAAGTTATGTTACCAAAATATGAAAACGTTATCAAGTACATATTTTAAAGATTAATAATGCTGCTACAAATGTCTCTTTTTATATTAAGTTAAAGATGTACCACTATTAACAATTAATTGATACTAATTCTTGAAATTATGGAAAAGGAGCAAACCTTTGGAGAGGATTCAATAATCAATGTGCTCTTAAATGGGAAGTAGTTGAGTGTTGTGGACACCACAGTTTTTCTTGGTATTACTGCTAGTCATGCGACTAACATCGATGCCATATTTGTTTTATAAAAGAGAGCCGTACGTTCAATTTATATCTTAAATTGTAATGAGTCGCGTAGGGAAAGATTTAAAGAAATAAATATATTAACTTTGGCATAGCAATAATGTATGTACAATAATGTATGTATTATTGTACATACATTATATATATATATATACATATATATATATATATAATGTATGTAATAGTACATAAAAACATAAATAGCTTTCATAAGAATAAAGATGTTTATACTTTAACACTAATAACAAACATAAGCTTGTAACACCAGTTACTAGACTCCACTGAGTCAGTAGTGCTTTTATGGGGCAACATATACGCTTTTAAAACAAAATTTCGGAAAATGTACAAAATTTGTCAATAAATAAGTTGAAATGTTTTATTTAAGGAAAAATTTACAAAAAGTGTTATTATAATATCAAAAAATACATCAATAATAACCCCTGGGATTGAAGCGATTGCCACCATGCTTGTACTATTAAAATTTATTTAAAAAATGTATAAACAAAATTATTGTAAAGTGAAATGTGTTTTAAAAAACGTCCCGCTGGATTCCTTGTTGGTTCTTCCCAGGTCATAGGTAACTGTAGTAAATAAAACATGACTTTCAATAATAATCTATATTTAATAATAATAATTCTATTGTATATTATGTAACAATCTATATTTAATAATAATAATTCTATTGTATTGTATTCTCTGTGACATAATATATTTACTAGCTTTTAACTAACCAGTTAAAAAGAATGTGTTTAAAGAAATCAATTGATATGGTGCAAATATTGTTAAATTTAACACATCTAATGTTAATAATTTAAGCAAAGAATTTTTAAACAATAAACATTTTAAAAATATCCGGTTTTTATTTTATTAATAGGAACTAGCAATTAGCACAAGAAATATAAAGAACCATTAATTACATTGCATCACTTGTGCAATGTAATTAATGGTTCTAAAAATATAAAATTGTAAAGTGCAAATAAAGGGCGGGCCCAAAGCACTCTTAATTTTACGCCATCTGATGAACGGTCACAGAACTTAACGTAAATAAAATTTGAGTTGCTCATCTATCTCTAGTACATAGTCAGTAATCTATGCTCTTAGTAGTCTGTGCTGTGTTGATTGCTGATTGCTGTTACCTGTTGTTACACAAGTTTTATTTTGTACATACACCATTTTATTTTATTTTAATGTTTCACTGTGTAAACTAGGATATTATTGTGTAAATTTTCTATAAAATCTTGTCACAATGACAATGGGTGATGAATTGCCTGTAACTTCCTTAGTTTTACCAGTTCTTATACGGCCTGTTTTAACCCAGGTAATGGTAGCTCTAATTATAAAGAATATAAGACTGATATATACTAAAAGCATGCAGTATAATGTAGTGTTAAGTTCTGTCCATGATTCGTTTTTGATTTCGTTTTAGCTTACGCAGCTTATCAAAGCGATTTCGCAATCAATGGAGTTGTATGTTACTTGACATTTTGTCTTACGATAATTGTAATCTATTAAATAGCGTTAAAAGTGGTTTATATCATTACACAGTTAAAAAAAATACATAATGACTGATGAAATAATATTTTATTTTGCGTTTTAAATTTTAATTGGAAGCTAATAAAACACATTTTATATTTCTCGTTTTGCTTATGCAAGTTGGGTTGAGGTCCTATAAGTGTTGTATATTATTATTTTTATACTTTGCAACTAGCTGTGCCTGCGACTTCGTTCGCATAGAATTCCTAATTTGTTTTGAAGTTTTAATTCTTGGGACTATTAATCAATAGTTCTTAACAAAATCATATTTTAAAAACTACATCACTATTTCAACTCTAACATTAATGGTATTGATAATTTTAGTATATGGAGTAACTTCATCATTAAACCGATTAAGTGCGTAGAAAATTTCAACACTGATAATGTCAATATTATATTTAAACGAAACTAAGTAATGTAGATGTGCACTAACATAATATAAACAAGGAACTAAATATGGGTTAACAATTACTCAAACAAGGAGGGAACAACAGTTCATTTACTGGATAGTAGCGGCATAAATGAATCCATCACACCTCTGCATCCTGGAGTTGTAGTAAGAGGCAACTATGGGAAACGCAAGAAAAATGTAATGGCTTTTGATATATGGCGCTATAAACAAATTGGTTACATCAGAGCTGGACATAAAATACCCAGACTGGTTATTCATACCCAGACTGGCTAGTTGTACCGAGACTGGCTAGTCATACGAGGGCGGCACTGAAAATTTCGGTAATCAAGGAAGTGACACAACATTACTATTTAAAAATGTATTTATTGCTTTCCGAAGTATTCTCCACAAAATTTGATCGATCCTTGAAACTTGGAGCGTGCGCTCATTCCATTCGAGCGAGCGATCCATTCCTTGTCGGTTTTGCGATCATGCTCAAAGGGGCCTCAGTCACTTGGCGCGCACGGTCCTGACGTTTGTAAGTGGATCGCGCCGTATGAAAGGTTTTTAAAGTCGTCGTAAACTACTCGAAAAAATTATAAAAATGTACATATTTTCGGTCCCAATAATGGTTTTTGTCACAGATATAATATAGAATGTATACACACAGGTAATCACCATTTTTATTATAGGTATAAATTTAAAAAGAGATGGCGCTGTTAACATCAATTCTAAAAATAAAAGAATTTATACATTATATAAAACATACCAGAACTTTTAAATCAGTGCCTGCAGAACAAATCACACATACAGTGACATAGGCAAAGAAGAAAGTTTGATCCTAGCCAAAACCAACATAATTTTTAATAGCTCTTTTAAAGGTTGATTTTCCATGTAGGTTACTTGGCGGTAAAGAAAAACATTTTAAGCAAACCTACTTATTTAAAATTTAATTAATAAATTGTTGAGTCTGTCAACATGCAGTAGGGCAGCGAGTAATATAAAAATCAGCAGCAAATATCACACGACACATCTACAGGAAAGAAAAACACAACCTGCTTTTATTTATTACATTTGCACAACACCACCATCTAACAATGACATTGGTTAACTATTCTACTTTAGATACTAAGGTTAATTATATTTTTATATAAGTATATTTATTATGTTATTATTTCTTATTTTTGTTTACTGCTTCTCAGATATAATTATATGGTTATGGCAATATTATCTTACATCATTTAATTATAATTTATGATATTAGATTCAAATGCACTTGATTACTCAATGTCGCCTTTGAACAAATTCGTACCCATACTTCAGAATATTAATCATAACTTTTGATAGAATGAACCGATTTTAATAAAACAAAAACTAAATGTAACACGAAGATACGCTTTATAATTTCCTTGCAGATTATTTTGATATAAATTAGTACTTTATATGTGATACGTTAACAAACAAACAGACAGACAGACAATTCTAAAAATGTTAGAAATGTATTTATTTACTTAATATTTTTGGTCCCACTTTTATTACAAAGATATAAAATGTCTGCAATTTACATTTTTGTTATAAAAATAATAGAAATAGGAAATTAGATAATAGATTCAAATTATAAATAACTAATATATAGTTATAAAATATATGTTATGTCAAAACTAATTTTGGCCAACATAACCGTCAAAACTGTTTTGAAAAAAGTAGTTTAGGCAAAGGTAGTTTTGTCGAAAGAATATTTGTAAAAAGAGATCTAGACTGAAATATATTAGGTAAAGTTAATTATGATTTAGACTAGCTGTTAAAATCACTTGACTAGAAGTATTTAGTAAAAATAAAAGTGTTTAATATTTAAAACAACATTTATTGTCAATCAATTTAACAAAGTAAACATAACTAAATTAACTAGATCAGATACATGTACATGATCCTGTTAGGAAAGTTATATCAAACAGTAGGTTGGGGTGCAACTAGGAAAAACTAATCTGTCCTCAGAAGCTAGGATGAATGAATTTATGTAATATTTAGGTTTAGCCGGTAACAAGTGCTTTTGACTGCAGATTTGCTCAAAACTACTTTTGACAATGATTTCAATAAAAAATATGGATACTTGAGGGAGGGTTACAGCAGGGGGTGCTCCTTTCCCTCTGTCAGTTGTGTTTTAAAAAAATGTAATAAAATGCTAAAATTATCACTCAGCAGTTATGAATTTTTCAAAAGTTTTGGGTCTTCCCCTCTTCCCTCCCCCATCCCCGTATTTTAATATATAATTTGCGTGACATTTTATTTCTGCCTATAGTTTCCATACAACAGGCTAGTTATTGCAATTCCATGCCTAAGTGTGTATTTTTGCATGAAAAATACTCGATGTTCCTTACTATAATTGTAGGCTAATTATTAGGAAAAAATTCACTGGCTTGAGTACATGCAAAAATAGTTACAATAATTTTTAACATTGAACAATTAAATAATATACAGATTTAAAATTTAATTTAAATAAACATTGAAGATATCAAATTTTCTCTTATAATTTTAGGAATTGATATTGAATATTTTTTGTTTACAGCTAGAGAAATATGACTTGGGGGCATCTCAGACATTACGTGCTGCTCTTACAAAGGCTGAGGCTGCCGTGCCCGGTCTTAATTATGATTTGGTAGCTGGCATAATGAGAAGAGCTGATATACCAGTCAATATGAATGAAAGTTTGTTAAGGCTTCAAGGAACTCTCACTGAAACTGAATGTGAGATAAATCAATATTTTCATTTCATGTAACATAAAATTGCAATTCTTTTTAAAGTTAACTATAAAGGTTTGTAAAGATTGTAATGCTTTTTTCATAAAACTTGGCAAATTTTTAGGTGCTGACTTGAGATTAAATCGATCTGAAGAAGCATTTCAGGAATTGAATAAGAAATCTGCAGCTTTAAAGAAAATTTTGAGCAGAATTCCTGATGAAATTACAGACCGAAAAACTTTTTTGGAGACAATTAAGTAAATAAAAAAATTGTGTACATATTAACTTGTAAAGGAAGCATTATATAATATTTTATTTCATTTCAGGGAGATAGCGTCTGCAATTAAAAAATTATTAGATGCTGTAAATGAGGTGTCAGCATATACACCGGGACCTGGAAAGCAAGCATTAGAACAGCGAAAGAGAGAATTTGTCAAATACTCAAAACGGTTTTCAAATACTTTAAAAGAATACTTCAAGGAGGGACAGTTAGTATACTTTTTTTTTAAATTAAATATAATATATGAGCTTTATTAGCTTTATGAATATTTTCTGCCAACCTACAATGCAGACAAGTGGTGCTGACTCTTGGTGGATCATTTCCCAAATAGTAAATTTTTTGAAGTTGGGTGTGTATTATGAAACAAGTATTTGTACAGGGTGGCTGATTTTAATAAGTAGTATTTTTTAAAAGTAAAGACAGTTAAATTTAAGAATCTCAAAAAATACAAAAAAATAGCTCTTATTAATACTTTTAATAAAAATATAAAAATATTGTACACATATATACTACTCTGCCAAGTTTTTAACTTTGTCTTACGAAATGGGATTAGCCTTGTTTCATAAGAAAGGTGTCAAGACTGCTGAAAAATTATCGAGCCATCTCGCGTCTGAGCCACGTCTATAAGTTGTTTTCAAGTGTCATCACTAATCAATTTGTGGGAAGACTCGATGACTTACAGTCTGCGAAACAAGATAAGTTTCGAGGATTTGGCACTATAGACCACATTCACACATTGCGGTTAATAATATAAAAGACAACAGAGTATAGTGAGCTCCTGTGTCATGCATTTGTGAACTATGAGAAAGGCTTTGACTCATCAAAATTAGGGCGTTTCTGGATTCTTTGTAGGGTTGCCAAATTAAGTGGTGGTATATCATAGAGCCGAGATGCCTTTACAACACTAGTACTATGTCCGTCCAAGTACAGAGCAGCCAAACAAAACCAATCCAGTTGTATCACGAAGTGAGACAGGGTCATGTTATATCCTTCAAACTGTTTACAAACGCACTGGAAGATGTTTTTATGATGCTAGACTGGAAAGGACGTGGCATTAACGTAAACGGTGAGTACATCTCACACATACGCTTTGCTGATGACATTGTCGTAATAGCAGAATCGCTGCAAGTTCTACAGCACATGCTGAACAGACTAAATGAATCCTCCCGAGGTGTTGGTGTTTGTATGAATCTGAACCAGACAAAAGTTATGTTCAACGATCATGTCATGCCAGTTCCAATTCCTGTTGATGGTGTAATTCTTGAAGTTGTCCAGGAATATACCTATCTCAGGCAGATATATCAACTAGGTAAGAATGATTCCAGCCCTCCGAACAAGCCGGTTTCCGAAAAGGCTTTAGTACCATAGACCACATACATACCCTTCGGCAAATTGTACAGAAGTCCGAAGAGTACAATCTGCCACTTTGCCTGGCGTATGTGGACTATAAGAAAGCATTTGATTCAATCGAAATTTGGGCTGTGCTACAGTCGCTGCATTGGAAGACGTTTTCAAGCTACTGAACTGGATAGGATACGGTATTAACATCAATGGCTAATACATCACTCACCTTCGATTTGCCGACGATATAGTCCTTATGGCAGAATTGCTTGATGACTTAAGCACTACGCTCAGTGACCTCAATAGTGCCTCCCAACGGATAGGCCTTAAGATGAACATGGACAAAACAAAGATCATGTTTAATGTCCATGTCACACCTATGCCGGTAGTTGTTGGGAGCACTAAGCTCGAAGTTGTTGACGAGTACGTTTACCTGGGACAAATAGTCCGACTTGGTAAGTCCAACTTCGACCGAGAGGTCAATCGACGGATTCAACTCGGCTGGGCAGCGTTCGGGAAATTACGTCAGGTATACCTCAAAATTTGAAAACTAAGTTGTACAACCAGTGCGTGTTGCCAGTGATGACCTAGGGAACCGAGACGTGGTCCTTCACTGCTGGCCGTATGAGGACGCTCAAAGTCGCTCGGCGAGCTATGGAGAGGGCTATGCTCGGAGTTTCTCTGCGTGATAAACTTAGAAATGAGGATATCCGCAGTGGAACTAGAGTGACCGATATAGCCCAACGGATTAGTAAGCTGAAATGGCAATGGGCCGGCCATATGGCTTGAAAAACCGACAACCGTTGGGGAAGAAGGGTTCTCGAGTGGCAGCCTCGTACTAGTAGGCGAAGTGTAGGGCGACCCCTCACTAGATGGAGTGACGACCTGGTAAGACATGCAGGAAGTCGGTGGATGCAGGTTGCTCTGGACCGTGCTTTGTGGCATACCTTGGGGGAGGCCTATGTTCAGCAGTGGACTTGTAAAGGGCTGTAATGATGATGATGATGAAGAATGATTTCGAGAAGGAAGCGGATCGGAGGATTCAATTAGCTGGGCAGCACTTAGAAAGCTCTGTCGGGTTTTCTCGTCGCCCACACTGCGAAGTCTGAAGGCAAAAGTCTTCAGACAGTGTGTTTTGCTTGTACTCACTTATGGTACCGAAATGTGGATACTGATGATACGGCTATACCACAAACTCAAAGTCGCTCAGCAAGGGATGGAAAGAGCTACGCTCGGAGGTAGATAAAATTCTTAATGAAGAAATCCGCCGGAGAACCAAGATTGCTTACATAGCGTCCGTGTTTGTAAACTGCAGTGACAATGGGCTGGTCAGGTCTGTCACAGAAGTGACAACCGGTGGAGTAGACGTGTTATCTATAGTTCATAAAAGATAGCTTGATCTCTGCGACAGCTGTCAGTAAAAATCACGCCTATGAAGTCCTGAATTTCTTAGTAGTACAGACAGTACCTGTCAATGTCATACTTTATGGGCATGCCGACCTAATTAGTGCATGCCCATAAAGTATGACATTGACAGGTACTTTCTGTACTACTAAGAAATTCAGGACTTCATAGGCGTGATTTTTACTGACAGCTGTCGCAGAGATCAAGCTATATTTTTATGAACTTTAGTGTGCGTTGCTCCCTGACCAGACGGAGCGGTGATCTGCGCAAGGTGGCTGGTGGAAACTGGAAGAGTGTAGCCGAAGATCGGGCTAAGTGGCTCGCCTTGGGAGAGACACAGACATACAAACACACACACACACAGACACACACACACACACACACACACACACACACACAGACACACACACACAGACACACACACACACAGACACACACACACACACACAGAGACACACACACACAGACACACACACACACACACACACACACACACAGACACACACACACACACACACACACACAACACAGACACACACACACGCACACACACACACGCACACACACACACACAGACACACACACATAGACACACACACACACACACACACACACACACACACACACACACACAGACACACGCACACACACAGACACACGCACACACACATACACACGCGCACACACACGCACACACACACAGACACACACACACACAGAGACACACACACACACACACACACACACACACACACAGACACACACACACGCACACACACAGACAGACACACACACACACACACACACACACACACACACACACACACACACACGCACTCACACACACACACGCACACGCGCACACTTGAGATGTTGGCTATTATAGAAAGCATTTTTTTTTAGAAATCTAAAAGTTCTTTCTGTTTAGAAATCTAAAAAATCTTTTTTAGAAAATTAAAAGAAATCTCGCGATTCCGGGAAATTCAAATTTAAATGTGACCGTGCGAGACAATTAACCCAGTATGACACAAATGACAGTTGCCTTGTTGGTTGTTTTCCCTACTTTTATTGTCAGTGATTTTTGACGAAGCAATACTAAACTTATAACATTGAAACAAGTGTCAAATCGTGCCTATTATTTAAACAAAAATACATTTATTACTGTAAAAATCAAGATAGAGAACCTAACCTATAAACTAACCTACAAAAATCTTAAAAAAATATCCTAAGAAGCCTAAGCCCAAGAACCTATAAAATATCCTAAGAAGCCGCTTCCATATTTTGTAAGCCAAAAGATAACTTTAGGTAAATATGCATCCGATTATCAGATCTCTACTTATAACAGTCTACAATGCATTGTTGCATTAAGTGCACCCATTGCATACTTGATTTAAAGGTTTAGGTGCCTATAACAAAGAGTAAATAAATAAATAACCCATTTTTTTAATTAAAATTATTTGTTTTTTGTTTTCAGGGCTAATGCTGTATTTGTAAGTGCACTATATCTTATTCACCAAACAAATCAAATTTTGTATACTGTTAAAAATAAGTCAGAATAAAAACAATAAGTACCTAATACTAAAACACAAGAAATTTAATTTTTTTGTATTACATACACAGAATTAATAGATACATAATATTTTTATAGTTAATATAATATGTTAATGTTCTATATTTGAAAAAAGAGATCAAAAATATCAAAGTCGTAGATTGAAGTATTATTATGTTATTTTTGTTAGAGTTTTATGTTATCTGTAATATTTGTTTTTATTTTTCTTTGTAATATGCTAATGTCGTATTATAGTTGAGCCTTTTTTTAAATCGAATAAAGGTGACAAACGAGCACAGAGTCCACCTAATGGTAAGTGGATGCTGTGGCCCATAGCAATCTACATTTATCCTACATTAAGAATTAAAAATTCAGATGTTTTGTCACCCCTGAGGACTAATATGAAATGCCTCGTTTCCAGTAAAAAGGGTTTCCTTTTACTACTTACTTTCACTTTAAAACTAATCCGAATTCGGTATGTAAAGAAAATTATGTTTTGTAAATTAATATAGTTTTGCAAATTTTGAAATGGTATATATTATATTAATTTAATATTGACACTTATTTTTCAAATGACGTCATAAAGTAGGCTCATTGAAATGATACCAATATCTAGTGATAGTCTTGTTAACATGTCAAGTAATTTATTTGATTTATTACTTTGCTTGATTTCTAATATACAACACGTAACTAATAAAAACACTTGTCTTGACCGTTGAGGGACTGTATTCTTAAGATTAGGATTGATTTAAATTGTCAAAAAGTTTATGTGAGGTTACTTTAATTAATTAAATAAAAATCAACCATTTATTTTGAGTTCTAGGTTATTTGATTTTTTTGTCAAATCATAACAAAATACGCGCCAAGCTTTATTAGATACCGAATATTCGGTGTCACAGCTGCGGATCCCGCGGGTGCCCGCGCTGTCACCGGCTGGACGGGTAGCTAGCACGATAAATACGTGCTCTATAAATATTGCCTGAAACGGTAACGGTCGTAAATGAAAATACAACTACGTGCTTAAGGCAAATACAAAATAAAGTTACCTGAAATAAACTTCAAATCACGTTGACAAACTGCGCACATAAATAATAACAGCGTTTTCTTAAACACATTAAACAAAATAAGTGTTAAATTATCAAAAACAACGTTCGCGGTTTACAAGACAAATAACTGGTCTTCTCATCCGTTCAGTCACCTAGACGAGTTACAGAGAATTGTCGATAACTAAGCGTGAAGTTATTAAGCCCTCTAGTATACATAATAGTTGTTTATTATTAAAAATTTTCATGACAAATGTTGCATAGCTACTCTTCAGCCCATTCTATGACGTCATCATTAGTCAATGTTTGAAAAGGTATTTAAAATCAACTACTGCTTAGAAATAAAAATAATTTTAAGATGGTGTTTATAATAAATAACCATATTATGTATAAAGTAAAAATATAAAAATGAGCCCCTAAAATGTTTACATAGCAAATTGTATTATACGAGTAGAAGTTACATTTCTGTTGTTAACAAGTGGGGGCTGCAATTATACAAATATCTATAAAATATTATGTTGAGTAGCAGATGTTGGTAATAGCATGTTGTTTAAATTACAGTTTTGAATGTAGCATAACAAGATTTATAAGTGTATAATTTCTGAAGAAACATTGTATATTTATAACATATAATTTGATTTATCACCATATAAAATATAATGTAACTGTAACTGCATTCCTTATTTGTTGTTGACCTGTAATTGTTAATAACCTATATTGTAGTTAAATGTTTTGTAATAGTGTATACTTACTTATTTCTTCAATTAAATAAACAGCTTTTAATTTTTGTGTAAACATGCAATATTTTATATGCTTACACTTAAAATATTTAAGTGTCATATCGAATAAACCTAACTATAATTTATCATCATATTAACATGCATATTTTTTTATGTTCCTGGCTAGAATTCATTTAATTATTTATTAGCCTGAATCTAAAGTAATGAAATCAATGAAATTTTATTTTAAAATTATATCTTCATTCCCATGCTGATGACTTTCTAGCAATGTCAAGATTAAGAACCAAAAGAAAATTGTTAAAAGAAGTTAAAATATATTATAGTAAGATACGAGATTATTTAATATTATGACTATGTACACGTAAAAATAATATTTTCAACCAACTTCATAAAAGAAGGAGGTTCTCAATTCAACTGTATTTTTGTTTGTGTTACCTCAGAACTTTTTTCTAGGTGAACCGATTTTGATAATTCTTTTTTTATTTTAAAATTGTAGCAATTTTAGTTTTTGAGTTATCCTTAATAATGCGTATTTAATGATGAAGTTGAACAACAGCTTGAAGAAAACTTGCCTGCTTTGCACTATCTAACAACTTACACCATCAGTTACAAAGGAAGGGTTGATTTGTGTGAGTGGCAGGTTACACATTTCAAATTACTGATTCGACTTAAAAAAGAAACAGTAGAATCAACAGGGCTCAGTTCTTTACAAAGTTATTTTCACATTCGTATTCAGATTTTTAATATTTCGTATTGTACATTGTATCCATTTAGTTTAAATATAGATTATTTAACGTTAGGACAATGCACTAATTTTGATATAGCATCATTCACTTTGTCATATTTAAAAAATTGTGTTTTAGTTTAAAAGTCAATGAAGTATCAGCAGCAAATAAAACTGTATCATGATTATCCTCTACAAGGGAAAGTAAGTCATTAATATGGACTAGAAATAGGAATGGGCTGATGATTGAGCCCTGAGGGACATCCAACCAGTACTGGTGGCCCTGGAGAACTTATACGATTGATAGTAATGAAATAATAAGTTTTAATGTCTCACGGTTAACATGGCCTTGGTAGCACAAAAATAATAATACCCAAGCTTCATCTAAATTCTCAACTCACTGCCGGCGTCAGTTGTCGAGCGATCCCATGTCAAACCAAATTGGTTTTTATGAAGCAATTTATTTAAGTATATCAAAAAACTTAATATATGTTCTAAAATGATTTACTCAAAAATTTTACTAAATGTTCGTAGTACCTACAGACATTGGTCTAAAATGAAAGGGGGGGGGGAGTCTAATGTACTAACAGATTTAAATAAATAAATAAAGGTACCTATTCCATTACTATGTTTAATCAGTGAACATCCCAGATTACACTCTTTTACTAGGTAAGGTGAAAAGGCGCAGTGGCTTACAAATGAGTTGCAGCGCTGGGGGACGCGGGTTCGAATCCCGCACGGAACAAGTATAATTGTATGGCCTACAAATGATTGTTCCGGGTCTGGACGTTTGTCCTTGTGCCCCTCCATTGAATCCTTTACCACCGGCAATTATTCCGGAACAGTACGACTTAGGGACCTTCAAGAAAAAAGCTTACTCCTTGCTAAAAGGCCCTGGTGTTGCAATTGTACATGGGCAGCGGTAATCATTTACGATCAGGTGAGCCGCATGCTCGTTTTCACAAAACCGCGCTTGTAAATTTTTTTGAAACGTACAGACTTGAAATGACTGAGGTGAGGTATATGGGAACGCGCACTCTCGTTCTCCTTTTCTATATTTACTTGCTTGTTCTATACCGTGCGAAAGATGTTTCACGCATTAAAAAGCGTATTCACGTGTAGACAAATTAATGTTGAATTACATGGTCTCCTATTAATTTACGGTATTATGTTTCATTGTGATATTTGATTAATGTCAATGGCCTCATTTAATATTGATTGTCACCATAAAATAAATTCTAATATTTTTTAACGTTTCAAACTTAATTTACAAGCGCGATCTGCGGCTCATCTGATAGTAAATGATTACAGCTGCCCATAAACAATTGCAACACCAGGGCCTTTTAGCAAGGAGTAAGCTCTTTTCTTGAAGTCCCTAAGTCAATGGAGGGGTCGTACGAAGAAAAAAATCTTAGTAAAACGTACAGTGTTGGACCGCCAAGCATCCTGTGGGTGTAGATGATATAGCGAATTTTGTCGCGATGTACGTTGCTAGAATTTGGCGGCTGAGATTAATCCGAACAATTCCTCAGAACACTCCCCGTGGTATATGCGAGAGAAAATACAACATCCCTTCGCAGCACCAGTGCAACGAGCCGACCAGAAAGAACTCGGTCGTCGACGATTCGAGCCACTCTTCGCTAGATGCGATCAAGTGGAAGGAGCTGGCACTGGGATGACCTGGTTCAGAGATGAGAACAGTAGGTACTTTATGTGAGGGCGAAGTTGCACCTTGTAAAGTTGCAAATGATGTGCCGGCATGAAATGTCCCGTTCTGCTGAGCACGCCAAACTTCTTAGAGGTCAATTTAGCCTTCCCTTTCAAGTGATCAGAGAACTATATGTCAATCTAGGCGATGTCAAGGATAGATTCTGTTTGAGGCAGCATGGGGATTGCTTGGAACTGCTGAAGAATACTGAAACTGAGGAGATAGGACAAAGGGGTTTTTTCAGTGGAATCGTTCCCAATCCGAGATTTTGTTTATTAAAGACTAGATACCTACAAGGTTGTTCGGTTCTTGATTTTTTTTTATAGAAGGGGCAAACGAGCATGCGGCTCACCTGATGGTAAGTGACTACCGCCGCCCATGAACAACCGCAACACCAGGGAAATTGCAGGTGCGTTGCCGTGATGACGTGTTCCCGAGAAATAATTAGCACTGCTGGTGTCAAAAGCATAACCACTGTAACAACTAGTAACGACAACATACAATTGATATACAGAAGAAACTGCGTAGGTGATAGCACACATCCTTGTGGAAGCCTATTTTACTCGGGTGGCCTATAGGAAGGCGATCCGCTGTCTCCAATAATATTTAATAGCCGTCCTCGATGCAATCAAACAAGCTAGATTGGAGCAAACGAGGTCTATACATAAATGATACTTATTTAAACCACCTGAGATTCGCTGATGACTTAGTACAATTATCAGAGTTATCCTCCCAGCTGCAGAACATGGTAGAAAACCTACACCTAGCTAGTGTAAAAGTAGGACTAGAAATGAA